GAGTTCATCACCACCAGACCAGCACTACAGGAAAAGTTGAAGGGTCTTCTTTAAGAAGAAGCTAATGAACAAAAGAACCTGATGAACTAAATAGATCCAGAGACATTGATGCATGCAACAGACGATCCTATTTCAGAGGAAAGAGGGAAGGGGGGGAGGGGGGGAAGAGAATAACCAAAGAAGTTACATGCATATATGCACAGCCCATGGACACAGTTAATAACAGGATGAAGGCCTAGGGAGGGGGTGGGATCGAAGTGGAGGGGGTCAATTGGGGGGGAAAAAATGGAACACCTGTAATACTTTCAGCAATAAAGATAAATTAATAAATAAAATAAAATAAAAAAATAAAATAAAACAAAACAAAACAGACTGCGGGGGAAAAAAAAAAAGAAAGTAAATGGATATTACAACATTTATGCTGTTGGCCTTATTTAAACAAGATCTGATTTAAACCAAAAAAAATTCTATGTAAAATCAAAGGTCACCTTGACAACAGTTTCTGGTGCAATTTTAGCTAACTGCCAAGAAATCTAATAATGTTAATGAAACAAAAGCCTTCGAGGAGTAAGTTAAAAGGTTTGCTGTGTTAAATATACCAAATTAGATTATATAACCCCATCCAAAGTAAGAACCACATGCTTCTGCCCTCTCATGGCAAACATTAAAATTCCATAAATATGTCGAATGCTTAGCAAATGCTTGCTGAGAAGTACACATTTTTTGGGAAAGGCTGTTTAAGAGAACATAATCAATATGGCTTAAGCTCATGCATCTGTAGCCACGTACTCAGAACTGAAGCCCATCAGAAAGGATGGGAGATGCCATGAGCTGCCCTTTAGCAAGTCTGATAAGACGGGCTGAGTTCAGGTCAGCAAGAGCCTGCTGTTTCTCTGTACTAAGCAGGCGTCTAACGACACAGCACCCACCAAAAAGTCGTCAGCACAGTAGCCTCTGACTATTAAGGGGCACTTGGCATGTCCAGGAGGTCTGTAGTTTGCCTCAAATCTTTTCTAGCCACACAAAGCATGTAAAAGACGACAAAAAAATAACTGGGGAGGGGGCAGTCGGGGGTAAGGATGTCAAGCTCAGCAACACGTTCATCTGCTGACACCAGTGGTTTTGCTTAAACGCAAAGATGTCTGCACTTCCCTGTTGCAGTGAGCGCTGGGCAAGTTCAGTCAGGAGCCTCGAGAAACATTTTCAGGAAAACAAAATCATGAATTCCCTGCTTTGCAATCTAAGCCAAGCCAGGAAAAACAAACTGTCAGCCTAGGATTATTAGGAGAGGCTGCAGAAATGAGACGGAGAAGGGAATGAGGTGGGACATAGGGAGGGCAGTGTGGACAACTGCTCGTCCCCGGAGCACACAGAGCACGTGGACAAATACAATGGGAAAAAGCGAGGGATGCCACCTTCCTCGTGACCAGTCACTCCCGTTTCCAACACTGATTCGAAGGAGGACACCCACATCCATGATCACGCTGTCAGCAAACTTGGCAGTTTCTTTCAGTGGGCTTTTTTAATAAACACATACATTGTGCCCCGGTGCATGCTGCACAACCCAGTGGAACTCTGCAGGCTTCGATCTTCCTGGGCCGTGGTTCAAACGGGACTGGGGAAGGCGAAGCGTCGAGCCTAATTTCTAGCTTCTAGCACGCTTCCCTTTCCTGTCCTCTTAGGGCCCCCATGGAGCCCCAGAAGGGACCAGTCCTCGAAGCAGTATTCAGGGGTGACCATGGGCCAGGCCTCCTCTTCCATGGCCTGCGTAGCCCTGTTAATAAAGCAGCGCTCGCAGCCACCAGGCTTGTGATGGAAAACAAAGAAGCGAGAGTTGTGCAACCAGGGAACCTGGCTCATACCTTCTGTTTACTTGGGAGCGCTGAGGTTTTGCCCTCTGCTAGGAGGAGCCGCATCCTTTACTGTGCAACCAACGAGAATGGTCAACAGCGACCATGAGAGGCACTGTATGGGCTCTGACGTGAGAGCGTGGGAAAGGGGACGACAGTGGTGACAGGGCAGGAGCAGAAAGCTGGAAGCAAGGACACAAAGGGAGTGAGAGTGAGTCACAAGCTATTGGCACAGCACTAGCCGGGACAGTCCACACATGAGTCCAGCAGATACGCCCACTGCGTACCCCACACCAGGTACACAGCCAGCCTTAGGAAGCCAACAGACCTTCACCCCAGAAAGAGATGTCCAGGACTACCAGCTCAGTGGCAGTGAAAACCACTCGGTATTCAAGTTGAAAGCCAAGTACACAGAAAGCCCAAAGCAAGAGGAGGCGCGTGAGAAATCCAAATCCTAAGGGCTAACATTTACAGCAAACTCCAAAGATGACTGTCATTTGAATAAGGGGCCCACAGACTCTTAGCTTTATCGTAACCATAAAAAAACTTACCAATTTTGAGATCTATAAAAAGCACTCTCTCAACTGGAACTAAAATGTATCTAGTAACTAAAACACAGTTGTTTGATACCTTTTGTACTTAATAAGGGCCAACATGCTGAAACTACGCCACTCTGACTACTGTACGTGTACCCACAGAACAGAGTAGAGACTGAAACCTGTTTAAGCCTCAAATAAGTGCCTTGAGGTCTGGTTGAGGGAAGATACCCAAAGGCCAAGAAATTGGAACTGTAAAGAAAAAACACTTGAGGTTCACCAGAGAAAATGTACTTTAAATCACTATGGCTCAGCATCTAATGAATTTTGTTACTGCTATTGAATATTTCTTAAGACTCCAGTGTCCCAGGTACCCAGAAGTGGCCTCTATTAGTCATAGGCAATCCTGGACACAATTCCTGCAAGGAAGGTTACAAGGAACCCTCTACTAGAAATTTAAGTATGTGTGGAAATAGCTGAACAAGAAACTATAACAGCCTAAGAACCTGAAAGAATAAATAAACAAGAGGAAAATGCTTAATTTTTCAGTAGCTGTTTTTATTGATTTTTTAGAGAGAGAGGAATGGAGAGGGAGAGATATAAAAACACTGATGAGAGAGACACATTGATCGGCTGCCTCCTGCATGCCCCCCATCAGGGACAGAGCCTACAACCTGGACATGTGCCCCAACCAGGAATCGAACCAGCAACCTCCTGGTGCACAGGGTGACACTCAACCAACTGAGCCACATGGGCAAGGCAGAAAATGCTTATTAAGATAGGAAAACTTTCAACCAAGCATTTTGTGTTCTCTACGAAGTCAACAGTAGAGAATATCTATTCTTTCATAATATTAAAAAACCCAGTTTTTAATACAAATTCTCCACTGGAAAAAAAACAATGTTTCTTACCTGAGACAGAGTAGACACAAAGTTTTCTAGAATGCAACACAGCCAAATGAAGCATTTCAGTACCTCTGAAAAATGGGGAAAGTTTCAAAAGTTTAAATATTAGTTTCAGATGTAACAAAAAAATTGCAGAATAATTTTTATAGAGATTATAACCACTGTCCACCATGAGCAAACTAAACAGTTCACTAGATAACATTCTAAGCTGAAAAATAAAAGTAACAACAAATAGCCAGTTTGACAATCCCAGGGGCTCAAGGGCTGGGCCTCAAGAAGCGGCCTTCAGATTGAAGCCACAGGAACCAAAAGAGTCCTACGAAGGCTCCTTCTGAGTGCTGCCCCACAACAAAGAGATACAGGTCAGGTCCTGGCTCTCCAGCTAATTAACCTGTGACCTTGGGCAAGTCACTGAATCTCTCTAAGTCTGTTTCCCCTTCTGGAAAACAAGAGGTTTCAATTGAGTGCAATAAAATCATGTGAAAGCACCTTATAAAGTAAAAAGCACCACAGAATGCTCATCGTGATGAAACGACAGTAATGATTTTGAGTGGTATTCATCACATCCAGCTCTGAAACGTTATGAAAGGTATCAAAAGTATTTCAGTGTGGCCACTGTCCCCACTCACTGCCCAGCCCCTACCAAGTGGTTTCGAGAGAGAAGGAAGGCAGAGTCTAGAAACCCGAAATTCAAAGTCTTCAAGGGTCAAGCAAGTGGGTGTAAATGAGTCAAGGGTGTAAATGGCTGTGATCCACTGGAGGCTGGGGCCAGGCTACAGGAGGCCACCAGCCGCTGCTACTCAGTCCTGGGCTTGTGGCCAAATCTCCACATTTCTTTCAAGAGCAGCCAGAATGCAGGGATTTTATGTGAAATCTCCTGCTTCATATGCGCGTATATATGTGTGTGTGGGTGGGTGGGTATATATATATACATATATATATATTTATAAAAGAGTTTATTTGAGCCAACTGACATCATATGCTGGGAAGCAAGATCTATTTCTCAAATGTTGGCAAGTCTTTTTGATTTCAGATGAATCTGCAAGCAGGCCTCCAGCGTCTGACCTGAGTTCTACACTGCCCTCAATACTGCATTCAGAAATGTTTTATATGTGCCCTGAACATTCAAAACAATCTTCCATCATGAACAGGAAAAGATGTCATGAAAAGACAGTAGAGCGTGGAGTCAGACAGACCTGGGTCTGAACTCGGGCTATGTGACCTAAAGCTCTGAGCTCCAGCTAGTTTCCTTATCTCTAAGCGCAGATCACACCCTATAGACAAGAGTAATGAGACGGTACTAGTTAATTAATACTAGTACGGTATCCACTCACTAATGTCAACATCCTCCCTTCCAACAAGTGATCACATAAGAAGGTCGCACTTAGGACTACTGGACAGAATGACTGTCATAGCATTTCACTTTTTTAAAAAACAAAAAAAGTGCTTTTAGCTCCTTACTTTATAAGCCCATCAGGTATAGTATGTGCTAAGTACGCAGTGGGGACCTAATCACCATCAGCTTGCGGATGGAGCAGATGTTTACCAACCACGTCAGCCACAACGTCGCCCTGTCCACCCTGTCACACTGCACAAAAGCCGGGCCTATCGCGTCCATGAAGCAGATGCCCATCAGAATGAAACATGGCAGGAGAAGGGGGTAATGGTCAGGAGCAACCGGTTGTTCGGGTTTTTCTGGCAGGACTCAGGGCCCTGAAGAAATGGAAGCTGGGGCCAGTAAATTACGATGTGCAGATGGAGTGAGCCAAAATCCAGAGTTCAGGGCACTCTGGGCTCAAGCAGGCAGAAGGAGGGTAAAAAGAGGAAGCAGGGAAAATAGGACAGCACGGCCCACACAGCTCCTCATAACGGCACCTTCATAACAGGTCAAGACAGGCTTGAGGAGGAAATACTACCATTTGCGACAACATGGGCGGGCCTTCAGAGTACCATGCTAAGCAAAATAAGTCAGACGGGAAAGAACCATGTGATTTTACTCGTAGGTGGGATATAAAACAGAAAGTAACAAACAAACAAAGAAAACAAACTCACAGGCACAGACAACAGAATGAAGGTTACCAGAGGGAAGGGGTGCGGGTGAGAGTGAAGAGAGCAAAGGGGGTCAAATACATGGCGATGGAAGGAGGCCTGACTTGGGGTGGTGAGCATACAGCGCAGTACACGGATGACATGTTACAGAACTGTACGCTTGAAACCCGTATCGTTTTATTAACCAATGTTAATAAATGTTAACCCCAAGAAATTTTTTTTTTTAAAAAGAAATACAGGCTTATTTTAAGAAAATTCATGCATGAAAATAAGAAAATCAGCAATGTCATCAGTAAATAAAAAGCAGCTATATTAAACAAAATGCAAGCTAATAAACAGTTTTCTAAAATAAATTAGGCTTAAGAGTATAAAGTACTTTGAAACGAAGCTCTTGTGAGGGAAGACTTAATTTTATGGGTTGATCTGGCTTCTTTTAAGAAACTAAGGACCTCTCTACCTCAAACAATTCATTTTAAAGCTTCACCGTTATATGCCAAATAGCATAACAGCTACTTTGTCTAATTATTTAAAGAGACATTTATATAGCCTGAACATTTGGTGTTTTAAGTAAGTGAATACTTTCTGTTTCTTTATTTGGTTATTTTAAAAGCTTATCTCTTTTCCTTTAAGTTCCTTATCCATCAGGCATCTTAGGTATGTTACTATTGAGGGAAAAAAAAGTCCTAAAAAAAAAAAAAAGGTCCTAAATGATATAATCTTAAATGTACAGGCTTCCATGTAATAAAGGGTCATCCCAGCTAGAGTGGCTCAGTGGTTGAGCGTCAACCTATGAACCAGGAGGTCATGGTTCGATTCACGGGCAAGGTACATGCCTGGGTTTCGGGCTTGATCCCCAGTAGGGAGCGTGCAGGAGGCAGCTGATCAATGTTTCTCTCTCATCACTGNACGGGCAAGGCACATGCCTGGGTTTCGGGCTTGATCCCCAGTAGGGAGCGTGCAGGAGGCAGCTGATCAATGTTTCTCTCTCATCACTGATGTTTCTATTTCTCTCTCCCTCTCCCTGAAATCAATAAAGACATATTTAAAAAAAAAAAAGTTCAATACACAAGGAACACTTAGGGGACAATGTTCAGAAAATATACTGAATTCATGGATAGTTTTTTTTCTTTGAAGAATCCACAGTGTGACACAGTAAGGAATTTATACACTCCACATAAAATAAAGTACCAGGATTTGTGGCCCGTACTTACGAAACAAACTTTCCCACTTCCACTTGTAGTATTGGATCTCGTAGATGAACTTCCAGGAGCAAATCTTCAGCTTGTGCTCTGTCTCCTGTTTTTACAGGATGGGGGTTAAAGATTCGGAGGTATCCCATAAAGCTACCCACAATTATTTTATCTGTAAAGAGATTTTTTTTAAAAAGAAAGAATTAGAAAGAAACAAACAGCAGCACAATTTCTTTGGAAATAAGCTTTCTAATGGTATGACTCCTTTATGTGGCCAAATAACAGGGGAAGTATAAGTTTTAACAAAGAGCTGGGCAACAGGCAAGTTGATCACCTTTGGGGAACAGAAGGCCTTCCCACCCCTTCTCACTCAGGTGGTAGGGCCCAGGTTTTCCTTAGAAACAATTTAGTAGGTGCTCACTGCACTTTAGTGCCTCCCACTCTTCCTCAGCAATGTAATCATCTTTCACCGTGTCCCCAAAATTCTACTGTTTTCATTACAGACAAAAAGAGTGTAAGGGGACAAAACTTAGATACACTGAACAAAAGATTGGTTATACCATAATAAGTATTCATTTTAAGAGGTCAATGATTATCCAGATTTTAAAAAATTTTTTAAAAACAAAACTCATAACTATAAATCATTAAAACCAGACACAAATTTCAAATAGCAATGATACAGAACTAATAGGTTTTAAATATCACTTAAAAAATATGAAGATGTAAAGAGCAGCAAATAATATAAGAATAAAATAGAATGTTGTTCCTAGTGTTACAATATAAAAATGAAAGCAATGATTTAACAGTTGTTTTCTACCCACAAATAGGGCTTGCATACTTTCCCCATTCTTGTATGGCTGGCTTCCAGATTCAATTCAAAAAGAATGTCATTTGCTTTCTGTGCCGATAGCACTCTCGCAAACATGGTGAGCTTTCCTTAAGCCCGCTTATTTTTGATTTTCAGAGAGAAGCATTGATGTGAGAGTGAAACATCCATCTGCTGCCTCCTGCACGCCCCCTACTGGGGGTCGAGTCCACAACCTGGGCATGTGCCCCGACTGGAATCGAACCAGCAACCGTTTGGTGCATGGAGTGACGCCCAACCAACTGAGCCACAGCAGGCAGGGCCAACCTGCTGGGCTTTCTACAAGAAGGGTGGCAGGCATCAACCCCACAAAGTAACACAGTACAAGGACAAGGATTCTCTGTATGCACACAGACAGCGCATTAAGACGGGAAGCAGAGTGGCTGTGGTGGGCAGACTAAGCTGACTTTCCGCAAAAAAGGCTAAAACCATAAAGAAGGTTGTCCTGAGGCTTGAACATGTGGAGCCCAACTGCGCACCTAAGAGGATGCTGGCGAGCAGATCTCCTCTTAGGTGCAAGCATAGAACTGGGAGGCGACGAGAAGAGAAAGGGCCCTGGACGCCTGGCAGCTCGGTTAGTGTCATCCTGATGTGCCAAGGTCACCATTTGACCTCAGGTCAGGAACATACAAGAAGCACCCAATGAATGCATAAAGAAGTGCAACAACAGGTCGATGTTTCTCTCTCTCCTTTCCTCTCTCGCTCTCTAAAAATCAATAAAAAATTAAATAAACAAATAAATAAATAAATAAATAAGATGAGAAAGGGCCAAGTGATCCAGTTCTAAGCTTTATATTTTGCTTTATTATGTGGCAATAAAATTCTGAGGATATAAAATAAAAAGAATAATTTTTCTTTCAAATAATTTCTAAAACATAAAATTTTTCAAAATTCAAAATATTTTAAGTTCTACTAATTTTGCAACAAAACAAATTAAATGACGTCTTAGAGTTTTTTCCTGAGTTCCAGCAAATAATATGACAGAATCAACACAACCAGAAAAACACAAACAATTAAACAGAAGAATTATATTTATCATCCTGCTACCTAAACATCACTTATAAGGAAAACTACCTTCAAAATTAGGGCATAATTATGGCAGTTCACTGAAGTTCTATAAAGTTCATATTTTAAAAGAAAATTATTTTCACTTCATCTCTGTAATGCTTTGCTCCAAGATGCAGGGTGACAAGTTACTCACCTTGTCCATTTCCAGTATTGTCAACATCGGCTAAACACAAACAGCCTTGATCAAATTCTTCTTTTTCCCCCAGAACAGCAGACCACCAATCACGGGCTTTAAATAAAGACATTCTCGTTCACTCTAAAAAGAAAACATGCATTTATAATAAAAATCCACTTCACACCATGAATTATGAATTAATTCTCTCTCAAGGCATAGGGAATTAAACTTGGACAACTTTGAGAAAAATATTTCTTTTTTTTAGTATTTTATTTCTTTTTTAGAAAGAGAGGGGAAGGGAGAGAGAGAAACATCAATGTGAGAGCGAAACACTGATTGAACCTGCAACCTGGGCACGTGCCCTGACTGGGAATCGAACCAGCAACATTTCAGTGCACAGAACAACGCCCAACTAACTGAGCCACACTGGCCAGAGCAAGAAAAACATTTGTTTTAACTATAATTTTCTGTATTTTGTGGGCATATGGGAAACCACAGGTCCAAATAGGCAGAAGCATTCATCATATATTTTACAAGAATCTTGGAAAATCAGGCTAAGAAATTATATATTTATGTTGGGCCAGTTCTGTCTTCTGGGAGATTTAGTAAGACAACTGCACGAAGAAACAAAAAAATATTCATTGGCGGATCAAGGTTCAAATTCATAGTTCCTTAGCAAAATACTCAATGTCCCTTCAGTTTGGTAACTGGGAAGACTGCAGCATCTCCTGCCACAGTGAATTGCTGAGAAGAGCAAATGAGATCAAATGCCTCAAATGACTAACACTGGAGCTTCGTACGTTACAGATACTCAGGAAGCATTCACTCCCCTTCCCTGTAGAAAGGCAAGATGAGAAGGGGAAATTCACACCAAAAAGGAAGCACGAGAACTATGTTGTAGATCCATTTATACCACTACCTCCCTGTGTGTCCTCAGGCAACCCACACAACCTCTCTGTGCTTCAATTCCTCATCTAGAGTGAGGGTATACCAACCATACCTACCACTGAGTTACTGCTGTGGAAGTGAAAGCCCACTGGGACACTCAGAAGACTCACAGTAGTCTTTCATAGAAATGTTGTTAATCAGCAGAGACGGTTTGTAACTTCGTGTTTCATTACTTTTTGAGAAATATTTGAAAGTCTTAATTCTAAGGGATGAGGCTTGCTTACATACATCCAAAGGTGTAAAACTTTTGAAATTATTATATACTATTGATATTGGATTGTTTTCCCTCCAGGGAATGTTTCCATCAATAAGTTGTACCATAAACATAAGTGTAGTTGTAATTTAAGGACAATTACAGGAAAGAAAAAATCCCTTAAATCTCATAAATAGCTTGTAAATTATTTGCAAATTTTTTAAAAGGTTTTTTTCTTCTAAATAATGGTTCAGTCTATTCACACACAAAAACCTACCGCCAATTATTCTCTTTACATGCTTCTGATACCTCTCCCTGTGAATGCCAGCTGACTTCAGTTAAGACCCATAGTTTCAGGCTGTGCACGTCTGTGATATGGTTTCACTTTTTAAGTAAAAGTGAGATAGAAAAAAAACACACACACTTAATTTCTCCAGCAACTGCAGGACTTGCTTGGGAAAGGGCGATGCTAATAAAATCAGGTCAGTTCATGGAAACTGCTGCGGTCTGCAAGGCAGAGAGGGAAGGCGAAGCAATAATCCTCCTGCAAGAAGGAATTAGGGGGATTAGCCCACGCACCCCCCTTCCGTCAGAGGCTGAGAACCGCTCTGACTATTTGCTCACAAGACCTGTTGAAGTGTCCC